AAAACCCGGGCGGGCGTGGGTCTCCCAGCCCCCCCCCGGGGCTTCGGCTTTCTCCCTTCGGATCGGGAAGCGAGCGATCAAGTCAATAAAGTTACCTCCATAGGCGCCGAGAAATAAACAGGCTAAAAACAATAGGTCCTCATTTCTCAGTATCATCAAGAACTTAGAAGGGGGAGGGAAAAAAATATAAAAAGAAAAAAATAATATATATATTAAAAAAAAAAAAAGCACCGGACCGAGCCCTTAAAATCAATCGGAAAACAAAGCCGGTGGCGTTGCAATATATAAAGCCATCTGTTCACGGCTTCTCTCTGGTTTTATTAGAGCGAGCACAAGAAGCAGGGAAAGCCGGTTCTGGGAGAGGAGCCGCCGTCTGGCACCGGCTCTGCCTGAAGACAAAATCAAAAATAATAATAAAATAAAAAGAGGGGGAGGAGGGGAAGGAAGAATAATATTAAGAGAACCTGTACGGAAAGGCGACAGAAGAAAAAAAATCATCCATAATATCTGGCTGTGCTGGAAACGCTGAGTCCCTTCCCTTGAGTCTGCCCGGTGATGCAGCAGAAGCGCTCCCCGCTCGCTCTCGCTCCCTCTCTCTTCTCCCGGGCTGTTTAAGAACATTGGCTGGAAAATAATTTTCTTAGAGCTGTTCCAGTTTCTTCATCCATCGCGTCCAGCGCCTGGGAGAGTATGTTCAACTGAGATCGAGTCTGGGTGGCTGCTGTATCCGAGCTGGGCTTTTGCTTTGGTTTAGGTTGGGTTTTTTTGGCTGCAAAACTGTCTGATGGCACAACTGCAACATAAAGGTTAAATATGGCACAGGGGGGAAAGGGAGGGGGGGGAGGATTAGAAGAAAGAAAGTAATATAAATCAGTAGAGGTTCTTTTTAGTAAAGAGGTCCTGTCTTTGATCTCTGCTGGGTCTTACAGATCTGCCTTAAAGAGAGGGAGAGAAAGGAAGAGAGAAGGGGGGAGAGAAGGGAAGAGGGGGGAGAGATCTTTGGCAGGTGCAGAGTGAAAACCTCTTTCAGCTATGCTGGATTCTGGAGACTGGTTGGACTAGTAGCTCCGCAGCTCCAGCTTTTAGTGGGTGTGTTAAATATTATGAGCGAGCCATGATTCCTGCCTTCCTCACGTCATAGTTAGGAGATTGGCTAAATAAACGCTACAGTGATAGTAACAGGAAAACCTCAACCAAAAGCGTTTTGGGTTGTTTTTTTTTCCCTCTCCTCCCTCCTTCCCACTCCCCTTTTCATCCTGCTGCAGCTCCATCTGGGGCAAGGAGAGGGCGTCTGGTCCACAAAGGTTTGCAAAATAAAACACATTAAAAAAAAAAGAAAAAGAAAGAAGAAAAAAAATAGAAAAAATCATAATCAAGTGGCAGGGGAGAGGGGGGATCTGCATGAGCAGAGTGAGGGGTGTGAGCAGGGGCCGTGTGCCCAGGCTGGGGCAGCCGTTCCCCCCCCCCCGCCAGCCCCTCGCTGGAGCAAGGTCAGCACAGAAAGCTGGGTGCTCCGCTTCCTCCCGAGGAGCAGTCTTTGTTTTTAATCCGAGATCCTGTGGGCTGTGATAATCCGTGAGGGTGCTGCGGGGTAATCTGCCCTCCCTCCCCGCTGCTGCCCTCGGCTGCGCGGGCGGCTCCGTTGCTGGGGTGGCTGATGGGGCCGGTGGTCCCGGGGCCGGGGCAGCCTCTGGAGCCCAAAAATGTGCTCTTGATAAAGGTCGAAAGTTGAGGGCAGTCTGAAGAAAGGGACAAGCTACTCCAGCAGTCTTCAGGTGATCAAGCAGGGATGCTCTGAGCTGCTTTTGAGAGAAGGCTCCCCTGCACGTGATGGACCTTAGCAGGGCTCGAGCAGTTGTCAAGTGGGGCAGAAATAGGAACTGGGAAAGTTAATGAGTGTCTGGCTACCACCTTTCCATAGAATCATCTTAACACTGATACTGCTGGCCCATTTTTCCCTGGGTTAAGCAACATTAATGTGTTTCTTTTAAAAAAAAAAAGTATTTTTGCCCCCATGCTCCTTCCAGTATTGTTCTGTTACTGGGAGCTTCTGCAGAGCATTGTGCTCTGCACTGCCCTGAGACACATCCAGGCACTGTTACAGTGTCACCATGTTCTGGACAAGGGAAGTCACTACTTTTCAGACTGGAAAAAGAAAAAAAAAAAAGAAAGACTGGGGAAAAAAAGGAGCTGACAGGGCCATGATCCTCTGGAGTGCTCTCTACTTTTGTGGAGGAACAAGACTTGCTGTCCTAGAGGGACCTCTTAGTTCCAGGGTTCAGACATATAGCTCACTGTAGATGCAGCACTTTGATTCCCATGGAAGACATCATGTCACCCTGGAGCTTTCAAGTTCAAGTGTACTTAAACTGTAGCAAAACATTTTGCTATGGAGCCAGAAACAAGGTTTTCCATCTTTTCCCACTTTTTCACCAAGGTCAGCTCAGTCAAAGGACATCTGATGAGCTGACTGTGAGGGCAGTAGCACTGGTTCCTCATGTGCCATTGCCTCCACTACTACTCAATAGCAGGTCATATGGTTCTGCTCCTAAGTTAACTGTCTCTTCATACAGGGACCTAAAGTTCAATTTCATTCATCTAATTTAACATGTTGGCATTTTAGATACATCAGGAAGGGCCTTGCAGTTTGGGTTCAGCTTGGGAAGCCGTTACTGGTGGAAAGGGATGTGATATGTGATTGGGGTGCAGCAGGAACTGTGTGT